GAGAGAGAGAGAACATATAATCAAAAATTAATAATCTTAATCAATATCACGATAATGAATAATTGAAAAATTAAAACTGTATTCGTATATACTATTCTTACTTTTGTCGTTATTATTATTATTATTATTATTATTATTATTATTATTATTATTATTATTATTAATTATTTCATCAGTTGTATTGTTTTTATTCAAAATATCGTGTAATTATTTTCAATCACGACGACAAAGGCAATAATAAAAACACGAGAAAAGAAAGAGACAAATACGACGCGATAAAATATCGATATAATTTTACACGCGCAAATTCCAGCCACTTTCCGTATGAAAATTCAAATAATGAATCGCTTCGTTGAATTTTTCATCAAGAATATCCATGCCAATATTTCACAGAATTTCATATTTGCATTTTTACAAATTCCACGCCAGCATGATCAAGGTAATTGCAATTCATAAAGTTACGAAATCTCGTTTTGTAAATTTGATGATGCTCCATGGGTGTAAAAGAAAACGTGGGCTTTTTTTTTCCTTCTTTTCTCTTTTTCTTTTCGAACGTAGCGTAATTCGCGTGGGTAGCTCGACGTAATTTGCACAATCTCGTGTAAACATTCATTTTTCAACCTGAAATATTTCGAAACAAAAATTTTGCAAATTGTTAATTTCTTTGTTGATGACGTTTTAATGATTTCTCTCGATTCTTATTCCTAAATACAACTTCTACTGAACAATTGTTACTTGAACAAACAGTTTTCCTTTAATTTTTTAGAATTTACTTTTTTAGAAAGGGGGCGGAAAAACAATCGAGTTAAAAGGAATGTTTTTGCACGTACTGCGTGGGCTAATTCATGATACGAGCGGGCGCAAAATAAGACGAAAATCAAGAATAACAAATTTGTGTTGGAGGTTTTGTTCCCGGGAAAGATGCATTTGAATGTCAGTCAAGTGCACGTGCACCTGGTTTATTCCCAACAGGATACGAACAGATAATTAGTGAAAGATTATTCTACGTGAGGAATAAAATAGGGAAACGAGTAAAGTAAACGAGTGAAATAAAATTTTTTCGTTTAAAGAAAAATTGTATTTCGAATCTTATAAATTAATACGTCGATAATTGATTGCTATAAAACATATAATTAAACGATGTGTATACGATTAATTGTTATTTACAATAATAACATCATTCGATCGTGTTCCAATTCAATAACCAGATCTAGAGATTAAGATCCAATCGTATTTAAATTGATGCTTATTAAAAAATTTTCAAGTTAATTTAATAAAAGAAAACGAAATTTCTTCATCGGATGATTAGAGTTAAAATTACATTTTTCATACTTTTTTACGTCAATTACTGCAAATTGTGCATAAATATTTTTATTTCAAATACTATTACTTAGAAATCTGACGATAAGAGAGCTGATATATTCGTTGATCTTACGGATTTATCGGAGGCACGCGACATGTGCAAACAGGTGTAATTTCCAGCGAAAAGAAAAGTTGCCCTGTTCCGCTCTATTAAATCCTATTTCTCCGCGTGTCTCTCATTAAACTCGTTAAAATATGTAACTTGGCTCTGGAAACCAAGTGGCACGGTGGATGACCAACGCGGGAACCAGTTTCCAATTAACTCGAGCGGAATTAAAAATGGGATCAGTGTACAATATGAATTATCACAACCACCGATACTCGTTCCTTTTTTTTTTTTTAACGACTGGATATCGTTTGTTTTAAAAAGCGATCGTGCATTTCGAGCTTTTGTCTTCGATCAACTTTGTATGCTAGATTTAAGGATTTTTAAGCAAATACGCATTTTTATGTATCATTTTATATCAACATATTGGTGGGATATCTATGAAAAAGATTAAGAGGATAAAGTGAATATCGATCGAAATTTAGGATTATTAAATTGTAAGGGAAATTGTGTTAGATTTTCTTTACTCAGATAAAGTTTTCAAATAATTCTGATTTGTAGAACAGGTCCAAGGATAATATATGTATAGATTTTTATATTTTAAATTTTGTAAATGGAAGAAATCAAAGGTGATTTCGTACGAATATATAAAATGTTATTTTGTAAGAAATAATCTTCAGTCGGAAATCCATGTTTCCAATTTATTTTAATACAAATTACAATGGTAAATTTTAAATAATAAAAGATTTCTTATTACAATATACTTTAAATATACTTTATTACACGTCTTACGTATATTTCGCATAAAATAGTATATTTTTTCTGCAATATCCCCATATTTTTATTTCCATAATTTTTTTATTTAACAACTAATCGCAGGTAGAAAATTACTCTTGGAAGAAGATGAACATACTTTTAAAAGCCAGCTTAAACAAGTTGTAAAGCCATGTTTAGTTTATTCTAAGCTCGCTTTAGCACGAGATTCATACATTTTATATCAATTTCGATTTTCATTTCCAATTACGAATTCAACAACTGATAAGAAAGACCGCGATATATGTTATATCTTCTCAATCATTTTCGCGTTTATTATTATTTGAATATTAAAAGAAAGTCCATAATCCCCTTTTTTAAATTCGTTCAAGCAAAGTTACCCGCTAACGTAAATAAACAGTGTTTCTGTTTACAGTTTCCAGACTTTCTTTGGGTTAATTTGAAAGTTCGTACGAAAGCAGGCTGCAATCTCGCAGGATTATTTTTTTTTTCTTATCTCTTGGAAGGATTGATGATTAAAAATTTGACGTAAAAATATCTTCTTAATATTGAAGAAATATCGTCGAGCAAATTTTGCAAGAAATGCAAAAGTTCGAATTGGAATCGATGTGATATATGATATTAAGATTTATATTTGATAATGATTTGTATTTTTGTTGGATTGGAGGGAAATTTTGAAATCCGAAATTATCGA